TGCCTAATTTTGCCCCAATGAGATTTAACATTTCTCCAATTAGTTTAAGAATTTTTTGTTTTTTTAGAATGTTAATTTTATCTTTATCCGTGACAGTGGTCACTTTGCCGGGCAATAAATTGTACACTTGTTCCGCGAGAGGTTTTAGTAACGGGCATTCATTAAGATAGTGTAGGAAATTAACGCACTGCCTCCCGCAGAAGCAGTTTTGGTCGGGAGACAGTTTCACTCTATAGAGGTAATAAGGCAGCCTGCCATGATTGGTGACGACCTGTGAGACGTAAAAGTTTGCTGGAAAATTGTCTGGTATATCGTGTATACTAGGGATCCATGTACTCAATTCGGAGTTTTGCCCCTCCTCTTTCCATCGCTGATCCCATTCTTTAAAGAGTTGAATTTTGATTTCTTTTTTGACATAGTTTTTTCTCATGGGTAACGCTACCGGTTCTCCATGAGTTCGCGCTTTATTTGCTAGTTTATCTGCCAATTCGTTTCCCTCCACCCCAGTATGGCCTTTCACATGCATTAGATTTATACTATGCATTGTTCGAATTGTTTTAATGGTATTTTTTATGAGTTGAATTACTGGATGGTTATTGTGGGGGTTAGCTAGGGCCTGCAGCGTGGATAAGCTATCCGTGAATAGGTTAATGGTTGTACTGTTTTTAAAAGTTGATACGTATTCCAGACTTTTCAGAATTGCAATCATTTCGGCATCATATATTGTTGCGTGCTTTTCTAATTTGTACATTGCTTTCTTATTTGATTTTTCCAATTCATCTAGTATTATAAATGCTACTCCTACTGTCTGGTTACAGACAGATCCATCGGTGAAAATGTTAAGTTGAGCAGTGCTAGGCGCTTTTTTAAAGAATGATACAGCTGTTTTTTCTGCTGGGTGCGTATCCCAGGGATCTAACAGTTTTTGGATTTTTTCCGTCTCCCAGGTCGTCCCAAGTATGGTGTGGTCACTGTTTCTCTGAAACAAGTGAAATGACGCGGCTTCTTTGTCGAGTGTTAGTGCTATTGGCATAATGTTTGAGAGAATATTAAGGTTGATATTGCTAACGGTGCGGTATGCTTTAGTTATTTTCAAAAGCGGCGTTCTTTGTACAGACTGTAGCTTTCTGGCCAAGTGCGAATTGTTTGTATTTTTCCACCATACGGGGGCGGCGTACGTAATTGCTCGTTCTATTCCTCTGATATAAATGTCTCTGAATTGTGTCCCCTTGATGCCCCAGTTGACCCCGGAAAACATGCCGAGGGCTTGGGTGCTTTGAGTTATTTTAGATTTTAGATATTCTGCATGTGCCGTGAATGTCAGTTTTGAGTCGAAAACGACCCCGAGGATTTTTAATGAATTTACATGAGTGAGGTTGCGACCTCCCAATTTAATGGTTGGTACTCGTTTTTTATACCGATCTCCAATATCAAGAACTTCGCACTTGGCCGGGTTAAAGCTTAGCCTTTTTTCATCTCCCCATTTTTTAATGAGGTTTAGCGCCCGGTTTGCATTGTCCTCCAGTTCTTTCCGTGATTTTCCCATCACTATTAGGGTTACGTCGTCAGCAAATGCCTGAATCGTTATATTGTTTTCGAATCTTTGTTGAAGAAGATCCGCAATAACAACATTGAAAAGAAGAGGACTTAGGGGTGAACCTTGCGGACACCCCTTTACTGAGCCGATAGTAATTTTTTCGCTTTTTGTTAAGTAGGACATTTTGCGGTTTGTCAAAAAGTCTCGAACCAAATTAAAGAGATTTCTGGGGCAGTTGTTTTCTCTTAGTTTGTTAATTACTACTGGGGCCCAGAGCGAGTTGAAGGCTCCCTTGATGTCCAGAGACACCAAGATTGCCCCCTTCCCCTCCCTCTTGACGTCCTCCAGCTTAGTTTTAATTTTGTATAACGCGCTTACTGCAGACTTTCTGTGGGTAAAGCCAAATTGGTTTTCATGAAGTCGTTTTTTAGAGTGTAAGAAATGGTACAGCCTATTGTTAATTAATTTTTCTAATACTTTACCAAAGATGGAGTTCAGACAGATCGGTCTATATCCGGAGGGACTGTCAACCCTATCTGTCTTTTTGAGTAGTATTATTTTTCCTTCTTTCCATTCATCGGGGAAATAACCAAATTCCAGACACGCGTTGAAAATTTTAAGAAAGAGTTCTTTAAAGTTGTTGTAGATTGTTCTCAGAAAAAAGGTTTTGATATTATCAATTCCTGGTGCAGTTGTTAATTTCAATTTAGCCAAAACGGCATCTACCTCTGCCGAAGTGAAGGGTATGTCATTGATTGTATTTATATCTTCGAGTGACATGAGACGCACGTTGGTCTCATGTGCCGAGTCGCTGTTAGGGTCATCTTCCTCGAATAGTGTTGTTAGGATAAAACGTACTGTCTCTGCCAGACTTCTCGTCCGAACTCCATCTGGTAACAACAGAGGACAAAGCACTACCGGGCGTTTAAGTTTGTTAAGTGCTATCTTATATGGGAGGGTAAAAACATTATTGCCATGGATGACACCGCAGAACTCTTTAAAAGAGCTCTGCTTTGCATCCTTTATGTTGGTTTTATAATCTTTGTGCGCTTCATAATAGGATTTCTTAAATTGATCTCTATTGTTATTTTTGCAATTTTGATATCTGCGCCGAAGCGCCCGAATTTTTTTACGTTCGATAGAAAGTTGTGGGGTCCACCATTTAACTTCATTTGCTCGATAGGTAACTACCTTGGAATATATTTCCGTAAGTTCTTCAATTTTGTCATAAAATGTTCTAATTACATGCTCTAAATGATTTTTGGAAACGAGAGGTCTGCTTGACATGTCCCTAAGCCAGCGGTCTTTTATTAATTTGTCTACAACCTTTATCTCCCCTGTTTTTGTTAGTCTTTTGACTGGGCACCTATTTCCAAAAGCTGTAATTTTGATGTAGCTGTGGTCGCTGCCTGAAGGAGTGTCCAAAACCTCCCAATCCGAAATGTGTCCTAATGTGTGTACATTTACAATAGTTAGATCAATCCAACTTTCGCCGTTTGGTGAGGCGAAAGTTGGGGACGAGTTTCTGTCATTGATCCACACTAATTCTAAGCTTATAAATAGGTCTGCTAATTCCTCTCCTCTCTGGTCTAATCTCTGTCCCCCCCAGCTGGGTTTTTTTGCGTTAAAGTCTCCTAATAATATAAGTTTTTCTGATTTGTGCTGTTCTACTACTTCGGTGATTATTTGCAGCCAAGGTGTTATGTCGTCATCAGGTGGTATATAAACGTTTGCTAGCACAAACGTTTGGTTTTCTGTGTTACAGCGGACCACTAGCAGATCTCTCGCTAAGGTAATAGGAAATGCATCGCAAAAGTTATCGTGAATTACCATTGCGACTCTGGGTTTTGTTTCGAATGCTATGACATTATCTTTAATCCTGAATCCCACAACCTTGTTTTTAAGATAATAAGGTTCCTGGATGCAGGTGATGCGTTGTTTAATTTCCATAGTATCTATCTTAAGTTGGTCTATAGCTCTTATACAGTGATTTGCATTAAACTGCAGGATATCTACTCTGCTATCCGAGCTGGTCATAGTTAGTGTTTGAAGTTAATGTATGTTCAGCTCAAAAGCGGGAAAAGATAACTATTGAATTAGAGCTATGTACCTATGAATGCTTGGTAAAGGGGCTTTTTAGTACGCTAAATATCGTCGAGCCTGCTGCTCCTTCTCAAGCAGGGCCCTGCATGCCCTCGAACCAAACGAGTGTTCGACGTGAAATTTCGTCTTGAACTTTTCGTTGCTCCGAACGCATGCACGGCACCGCTTCTCAATTGCCCTGCAGTTGGCCCCGGGGTGGTCACCGGAACACTCAGTGCAGGCCGAGGACTGGTCTTTGCACATTTTAACTGTGTGGCCATAAGTGCAACACTTCGTGCAGCGCCGGACGCCAAGGTTCTCATAGACGGGGCAGGACGTCCATCCGAGATACACCCTCCTCTTTTGGAGGAGGATGTCCCTCGTCTGGGGCCCAACCTCCAGAATATGGACCATGGTGCCCGATGCTGCCCGAAATGAGGCCACGACCTTGTTCTGGTCTTCTGTTGGGATATCATTCGTAGAAGTTAGGGCCTCAACTAGGTCCGCAGCTTCCACCCCTGGGTCAACCCCCACAATCTTGACCTGTGGGGCCCTTTTTTCCGAACGCCTAGTTGTAAGTTTAGACGCGGTTTCCTCGTTGGCCTTAATGGCCTCCGCGAGGCGGTCTAGTCCGGCCGCGCTGTGACCGAGCACAATAGCCCCACCTCGCACTTGCTTGATCTCGACGCTGCCGAGTCCGAGCTCCGAGGGCTTGAATGTAGTACGCAGCAGGTGGGAGATCCCTGCGTATGGCTCCACCCCAGCTGATGGCTTGGTTGCCGGGTAGATCAAAAGGCTTTCCCTGGGGGCTGAGGGTGGTGTCGTTGGCTTGGGGGCCTCGGGCAATGCCCCCCCCCCCCCCTGCTGCTGGAGGGCGGGGCTCGGGCTCGAAGTCGCCGGGTTCTGCTGGAGAACCTGCGAGAAGGTGCGGTGCAGGGCGGCAACACTCTCCGGCGTTGGGGAGGGGGCTGCGGGGGCTGGGGCCCTCTTCTCTCTTCCTTGTACGCTTCCATTTTGGCAGCCAGTGCCGTGTTTTGGTTAATTAGATCCAGCGCAAAACCAAACAGACGATCGTATGCACCGTGCAGGTTGGCCACGTGGGTCTTACTGGTTTTAGTGCCCACCGCTGGGATTGCCTCACTTATGTCATGGTACATGTCTACCAGAGTTGCGGCGTTCGGGTTAAGTTTGAACTTCATGTCTTTCGCCTGCGCGGCGAGCGTCTCTTGGGTCGGACGGGAATCCCCGTTGCCCTTCTCAGTTACCTCCTCCCCCGGGGGGGAGTAGATAGGGACAAAATATATAGAGGAGACTTAAAAGAAAAGGGAAATTAAGTCAAGAAAAATAAAAATAAAATTGCTCCTCTGCCCGCACCACAAAGGTATAGATAGGGACAGTTGGAATCTCGTTAATCCATTCATGCGCGTCACTAATTATATGACGAGGCATTTGGCTATTTTTTTTTAAACTTTTACTCCCTCATCGTCGGGCGACAGAAGGGCACTGTGGCCTGAACCCATTGGGGAACGAACCGGCCGCTCCAGCCCCCAGTTCGGGAGAATTAACCACCCGACTAGGGACTCAACCGGAACCCAACCCGACCCACGATGACAAAAGGGGTTAGGGGGACCGAGTTACGCCCTCTCCAGGTAAGCGCGGGAACCCCCCCACACCCGACAAAACAAAGGGCAAAAAGGTATAATACCTCTCGAGATGGTTGGGGAGAGGAACCTCAACGCCCATTAAAATGGGGTTAGTAAAGAGGGGCACCGTCACTGCGCCGAACGCGCCATCGCCCGTGGGAACACCACAGTGGTCATCCGCTGATGAGTTCGGAAGCACACCAGACCACCCTGTAAGGTCTTTATAGTTATAATTTTGAGGTCCTGACGGTTCAGACCAAGGTCCGTCAGGACCGCAGCGCTCTCGGCTGCCCACACACCCCTGTAGGACAGGGTCACACTGGAAGCCAGGGGATCCGTTGCACGGCTCCCCCGGACCTGGTCAATGACCTCCGGCAGAGAGTACTTGGTTACTTTCTGGTGGTGAGCCTCGCTCAGGCCGATGCGAAGGCCGACGACCTGGACGTCCAGAACGACCACCTGCTCCTTGCTCGACAGCACCAGGTCGGGGAACCTCCTACCCTGCGACGTACGAATGGTAGGCTCAACCCGGACATCCCACTTCAGCTTTCGCAGACGGGACGCCAGGAACTGCACGATGTTATTGTGCCGTTTGATCCTTTTGAAGTCCGAGCGGTGACACCGCGGCAGGATATGGCCAAGGCTCTCCGGTGCATTGCACCCAGCCCGGCACATCTGGCTCCCCCCCTGGCCTCTCTTCGTGCGTGTGCGGTTTGGCATGGCGTTGACCCGAAGCTTCACCATGTCTATAAACTCCCGGCCTGGCAGTAGGTGTGTACCCTCGGCCACCCAACGTTGGGCGGCCGGGACCTTATTGCACTCCTTGAGTGCTGCCCCATCGTAGCTGTGGTGGAGTTTCCCCGCCCAGAAACTCGCACGTGCGTCACTGGACTGCAGTGTAGCGCCTTCGTATACGCTGAGACGATCTGCGTGCCGCAGTGCCTCCCTTATGAGGCGGCAGCGCAGGGTCTCGGCGCAGGTCGGGTGGTCACTTTGTGCCAAGCGCTCGAACCTGGCCATCTGCAGCCCTGGCACGGCGGTTCGTAGGCAGGGAACCCCTAACCCACCGGCCGGGACGTCCGCATGGAAATAGCCTAGCGGCGTGTCGTGGGGCAACGCCAGCCATCGCCGCACAGAGGCACGAACCTGCCGATCTAGCTTCGTGAGTAATTTGGCTGTCCATGGCCCAAGGACAAGTCGGTGGTAGAGACGGGGAGCCAGGTATGTCCTGAGTATCACCAGCCGCTGCTGGGGTTTCAGAGCTGCCTTAGACACCCTACCCAGCAGCAGCGCCAGCTCCCGCTCCAAAGGCATTGGCGCCCTGCCTGCGGCCGAAAACGAAATGCCGAGGTATCGCCACACCGTCGCTGTGTCGCTAACGGGTAGTTGGGCCTGGTTCACCCGGAAGGTCGTGATGGTATCGACCTTCACCTTTTTCTCCCTCCCCGATGGCTGAGAGTCATAGTTACTCCCCGATGGCAAGAGAGTCATAGTTACTCCCGCCGTTTACCCGCGCTTTGATGAATCTCTTCACGTTGACATTCAGAGCACTGGGCAGAAATCACATTGCGTCAACACCGACCAGCGGCCATCGCAATGCTTTGTTTTAATTAGACAGTCGGATTCCCCCGGTCCGTGCCAGTTCTGAGTTGACTGTTTTTTGCCGGCCGAAGCATAGCACTTTGGGCACGAAGCCCTCAGACACCGCGCAGCTGAGGCTTTCCACAGGAAGGTCGCGACGCTGGTCCGGGCTTGGCCGCGCCGCGTCAACGGCGAGCCCCGCCCAGTCCCGGTGCAGTGCCGTTCCTGCTTCAGGTCCCCAGCCCGACCGGCTCAGTCCTCAGAGCCAATCCTTATCCCAAGGTTACGGATCCGTTTTGCCGACTTCCCTTACCTACATTGGTCCATCGACTAGAGGCTGTTCACCTTGGAGACCTGCTGCGGATGTGGGTACGGTCCGGCACGAAAATCACACTCCCTCACTCGGATTTTCAAGGGCCGACGCGAGCGCACCGGACAGCGCAAGAACCGCACTGCTCTACGGAGCCACCATCCCTATCTCGGGGCGAACCCATTCCAGGGACTCGATCTCCTTACAGAGAAAAGAAAACTCTTCCCGGGGCTCGCATCGGCGTCTCCGAGCTGGTTTGCGTTACCGCACTGGGCCCCGAAGGACCAATCTCCGTGTCCGGGTTCGGGATTATTAACCCGATTCCCTTTCGGTCACTGCGGGGCTCT